AAAATTAAAAAAGCAGAGAGCAGGGAAAGGTTTACTCTGCTAGATCGAGCAGAGTAAATCTTTCCGGGAGAAAATGTTTCCGGGAGCGTTGGGATGTCTGGGGTAGTGCCTGATCTAAAGGTTCCTGTTCCTTGGTTGAAGTTTGAATCTTGTTCCGTAGCCTGTCTGCAATTCTAGTGAAAAAATCAGCCTATTCCATGTTTGGTTCCAAAAAGACATCTGTGTGAAGCTTTCCTTGACATTCTGCTTCTATAATGACTGCCTGACTGCCGTGTCTTTTTCCCGATAAAGAGAACTGTTAGGAGCATGTTTAATGCTCCTATGCCTGCCACAACCTCCCAGTTCCCTCTGATGGTTACCTGTTGTCACTGCACCTATCTCAGTCTTGTCAGCTGTGGGCTAATGAGCCTGACCATGCACCTTCAGCAGCTCTTCATCTGATGTGGGCTAATAAGCTTGGCCACACACCCCTCAGGCCTTGTTCACACCAAATGCAGAGCAGATCCACTCAGGTTTTTGCCACGTTTTTGGTGCGTTCCAGGCCGTTTTTGGTAAAAAAATAAAATGTTTTTTTTTTTAGTTTAACATGGGCTTTCAGTGCGTTCCAGGCATTTGCATGCTTTTTTGATGCGTTTGCACCTATTTTAAAAGGGAAATATCAGGGGTTTAGACCCCTATTATTTCCCCGAAGCCCCTAAAAGTAAAGTAAAAAGTAAAAATATTTAATACAAAATTAATTAATAAATACAAATAAATATCAAAAAATTAAAAAGTTTCTAAAAAATAAATAAAAATAAAATATTACAAATTTTTGATATATTTTCGGTTTCGGCCTGACAATTTTTTTTATTTCGGTTTTGTTTTTTAAATTTTTATTTTGGTGCACCTCTAGTTTACATATTTGATACTGTGATAGGTCACAGTGATCATGAAAAGTGGAAAACACGTCTGGTAGGCTTAAAGATCCTCCATACGCAGTTTGTTTGCTTTTTAAAAACTGGTTTATGTAAATAGCATTTTCTCAAAGTCTTGAAACAAGCAAAGTGCAATGCACATCTGTAAAGCGCATCACTTTTTCTCACAAAGCCGCGGTAAGGCTGCAAACCTCTGCTTTAACCCCTTCGTGACGGGAGACGTACACTGTACGTCCAGCCACAAAGGGACCAAATGACTCGTCACGTACACTGTACGTGACGAGTTATTTGCTGCACTAGAAGGCTGCTAACCACTGAGAATCAGCGGTTACCTTTCAGTAATAGATGTCTAACTATCTAGAGATCCATTACTGAAAGGGTTAACCTTTTTCAGACACCCGATACCTTAATATCGGGTGTCTGAGAGTCAAAGCAGAGGAACACACATGCCGGCTTTTGCCGGCATTCTGACAGCTCGTATAGATCGAGAGATATCTCTCTCAAGCTATACTGGCTTTTTTTTTTTTTATCTTTTGACTTTCAAGAATAGATACAAAATGTTATGTATTAGACACATAATGTATCTATTCTTGAAAGTAGAATGTTTAAGTTTTCTGAAACATTCACTGACAGCTGAATCCTGAACTGCTGCAGGATCAGTGTCACTAACTTATTATCGGCTGTTCTGAAGTTTGAAGCAGCCTGATAATAAAAAAAATGTATTAATTTATCAAGCAGTAATAGTGAGATTAATTCACAATGACTGCCTGATATAATTAAATAAATAAAATTTGTCAGTATAAAAAAAGTGAAAAGTGTAAATAAATTAAAAAAAATAGTGAAAAGTGTAAAAAAATTAAAAAAATAGTGAAAAGTGTAAAAAAATTAAAAATAAGGGACAAATAAATGAATGTATGTATTGCATTTTTTTTTAGCTGTGCTGGTTTTGTTAAAAAAAAATACTACAAATCAAAACTGGGAAAAAAAGTTTTTTTTTACGTTTTTTCCTCTTTTTTTAATTTGTATTTGTGCTAAGTGAGGCGTTAGACACACATATGTGATATAAATATATAGCCCTATCTGTCCTCTAAAAAACAATATATAATATGTGTGGGTGCACTTTGTAAGAAAGTATATTACTGACGTGGAAGAATCACACAGCAAAAATGTCAAAAGTGTGTCAGTCATTTACGAACAGAAACCAAAAACAAGCTCAGTCATGAAGGGGTTAATGGGGCGCTAGGAGTGTGCTTATAGTGCCCTAGCTCAAGAAATGTAAAGCCTGTCGTGTCCACAAAATAGTGCACAATGGTGTACGTTTAATAAACCGTGATAAAACTAGCTTTATCACGAGTTAACTTTACTCAGCAGATGTCTTTGTTTTTCTCGGCTGCACAGAGGCTGTTTAATAACCTGCGAAAAGAAAACTTATCAATACGAAAAAGCTGTGAAAGGCTGAGATAAGTCGTCACGGTGATCAATAGAGAAAGCAATGTGGGGAATGTATTCTGAGCTGCACAATGACATCCTTTGTGATAATCTACAATCCTCCTGACAGGATCGTAGTTTACTCTGCCAAACCACCCAATAACAATATTACAAAGCACCTCTATAGCAAAGTGCAACAGTTATTTCTCCATTAAAATTATGAAAATTGCTAAAAAGCAGGATTTGCATGTTCTGATTTGTTCAGCATGTAGCAGTACAAAAACATGAATCAAACTACCAGAGGCAGCCACAATGCGAGGCAGTGATGGGGTTAAACATTCTAAAGGGGCACTCTGATTGAGCCAAGCAATGTAAGTGGGCACTCTGACACATGCTTGAAATTAGAATGTTTGGCGTCCCTGAAAAAAGCCTGCTGTCCTGAGATAGGTGCATCAGCACTGTGTGTGTGCAAACACACTAGCAGCAGGTATTAATGCATCATAAACGGCGGACCAT